AACAAACTCCTAAATGTTTGCACCGTATACATATTATAGACAGCAACACAAAAATGTCACGAGAGAGCATGTAGTGAACCCTTGTCACTGTACTTTCTGAATTCATTCTACGTAATCGCATTTAATTAATATCTGTGATAAAAGAAATTTGCTCGAAATCAGAAAATAGCAACGTAATGTCACAAAAAAAAATCATTTATATCTCGCACCAATTGCTGAGCACATCTTAAAGTCAGCCTCGAATGTAACTGAGATTAAGCAAGAAAAGTTATAAGAAAACACTCAGCTTGTGTTTTTATGAAAGTTAGTAGTTACTGGTAGTTAAATTAACTACTAACTATTCCAGTTAGTAGTTAGAACACCTACTAACTAAGGTAGTTAGTAACTAGAATAACTGCTAAACGAAAAAGTTAGTCAGTTATTCCAACTACTAACTGAAAAAAAGTTGAGTTAGTGGCATAACGAAACTTTTTTTAACGGAACTCCGACAGCCCTAATCCGTATTGTCTTATTGTGTGTATTCTCGTTTTAGTGGAGGGTATGAGTATTTTGAGGGCTTTTCTGTATTACAGTACTCGTGTGCTCTTGTTGTGTATGTGCGGGCTTTAGTTGAACGACCAGTTTGAGGGTTTCGATACTCACTCTCATGCGCCCCGCCCCCCCCCGCTCCCCCAGGCCACGCACGCGTGCACAGGTTTATTTGTACGGGTTGCAGGCTTGATGGAGAGTGTGGTTGAATTGTTGCGTAGTTAACCTAGAATGTGCCAGGTGGGTTGGCATATTTGAGTTTGAACTATTGTAGGGGGTTATGGGCCTCTGTAAGTATTGTCTCATGGTGACTTATGTCGGCCAGAATCCGGTCTAGTTGTGGTTGAGGTAGAATTACAATTCTATCCGAATTCAACCAGATATTCCGCGTAAATCTAGGAACAGTATTACTTGAAATGTGTTGTTACGGGGACCTTTAGACAATTTTACGAATAACGAACTAACGGATTCTGGGTTAAGTATGCGTGCCAGCGAGTAGCGATACATCGAATTTTGCAGTTTTCTCCGCCCCACCTATCATTTGATCCCCATATGATGTTGATTCAGCAAAACCGTCAAAATCCTCATATCCCTCAACTATATACAATATACAGATAAGAGTACGGTACGGATACCATAATACAGCAAAACCCTCAAAATCCTCATATCCCTCAACTAAATAGAAAATACAGATAAGAGTACGATACGGATACCGTAATACAGCAAAGTCCTCAAAATCTTCATATCACTCAACTATGTAGAAGATACGGAGAAGAGGAGGGTACGGAATCGGCAGTACTCCGATGTTCCGTACTGGGATTGAGCCTAGTTGTTGTTGAATACGTGCCGTAATGGGATTGTGACATCTCTGACTCTTTAAGGTAGACCTTAAGTGGATGTTCGCCCTTTAACGTAGCGAGCTTTTTTCAGAACTCGCATAAAAAACTCTTATCCACTTTAAACAGTCTAAACTTTCAGTAGAAGGATATGCAGTGCCGTGGCTAAGGAAGGGGTGTGAGGGGGCGTACGTCTCGCCTGCTTTTCTGAATAACTCAAGGCAAATACGCGCTCCAGATGGCTGTAGTTTTTGGTCGAATTATTGGCATTCATAACATGTTAAGTCAGCGATAAATCAATATATTACGACAGACATATTTTTCTTCGCTTTCCAACACTAGCCGAAAGCACTTGATATTTCTTTTAGTACGAATCATTTCCACTGTCGTACCTGAAACGAGCAATTTATTATTATGACGCTATTTACCGAAAGACTGGAAAACGAGCGTCACAGAGCGTGTCACAGAATCAAAGAAGAAGATGCAGAATTTTGGACTAAGAAAAGTTTGGTCCTGTCGGGCATAGAAAAGATCGTCTGATAGACACGTAATACGTCTGACAAAGTTGAACTTTGACTACTGCTCTTTCATGCGATACAACGATCATCACTGCATGATGTCGCATTACCCGCAAGCGAGATAAATCATGTCGCGTTCCCTTACATCTAGAAAGTATGAAATCAAAGCATGTAGTCTCGCCTCGTATCCTCGTTATTTGGCTTGATTTCTCCACTAGAGTACTCAGAGCTCCACAAATAACAGAAAACCCAAAGTCATTCATTGAACAATTTTGTATTTTTTAACTTTCAGTTGTTAATCAATAACTGTAACATTCACAATTAACTTTTAATTAACAATAAACCCCTTTAGGGGACCATAATTTCTCCTCATCCACAGGCATTCCTCTAATAATCCAAAGAGGAAACCAACAGCCCACGAGAATTTCTCTCTTTCCCCGGGAACTTCTCTCCTAGTACGAGGATCTCTCCCCTGTCGAACAGGAATTTCTCCCTTCCGACCAGAATTTCTCCCCATCCACAGGAATTTCTCTAATAATCGAAAGACGAAACTGACAGTCCACGAGAATTTCTCTCTTTCCACGGGAACTTCTCTCCTCGTACGAGAATTTCTCTCTTGTCCAACAGGAATTTCTCTCTTCCGACCACATTTTCTCCCCATCCTCTTTCAACAGGAATTTCCCTTACAATCGAAAGACGAAGCGAACAGTCCACGAGAATTTCTCTCTTTCCACGGGAACTTCTCTCCTAGTACGAGTATCTCTCCCCTGTCGAACAGGAATTTCTGCCTTCCGACCAGAACTTCTCCCCATCCAC